AGTGTCACTCAGAGGCATATGGGAGTGCGTGGGACATCAAACGAGCCTTGATTCAAATAGACACCTATAGGCCTTGTACGAAAGGATATTAAAAATCTACCTAATAAGCTATTATAGAGGTTAGGTTTATATAGTCGTTTTTCCCACTAGGCCAAATCGTACTCTAGTTCGGATCCTGTTCGGATATGTGTAGAAACGGGTGCTGAGCCGTTACACTAAGTAGTCTTACCTACGCTGTTATAATTATAGAATCTACTAAGCTTCTATTAGCGTAGATACACCTAATAATTATAATCTAATCTCTACTTTTATCTTAGAGTACCTTACGAACTTTCTTTTAATTCTATACAGCCTTTAAAAAGATTCTTTTAGATAGTAAGATCTAGCTAAGTAAGAAGCTTTTCTTATCTATATTATAAATATTATATAGTATAATGTTATATTAATTAAGCTTAGTATAGAGGAGATTAAAATATAATTAGTAGTTATCTAGAGTGTTATATGGGGTAGGGATCTATACTTCTCTGTTCTAGTCCGCACTAAGGTAGGAGAGTATTATGCTAGTGTTCTGTGAGAGTTTGTCTAGCGATGTAGTGGAGTAGTGTACTTAAATAGAAGGTAATAAAGGTTTAATAACTACTAATCTATATTAAATAGACTAATAAGTAATAATCTTGTTAAGTAAAGTAACTAGTAAGAAAGTATAATTTAAGTTGACTATAACGAGAGTAATAATAAAATCTATCTATCCTTATATCCTTATTGCTTCTAGTCTTACTATCACTACCGTCTCGACTTCCCTCCTCTTGGCCTGATGTCCCTAATAGCTGCCATTATAGGATTACTGCTATCACATACTAGCGCCTGATGGTCGTCTTGGCGTGATGTTAATCACGTGATCTTCGCCCCGCGATAATCATTACCTTCTGACGTGGACGTCCATAGGCCTTCAGCCATCGCGTCACTTGTCAAGGAGAGAATCCTTCTTGTTACTTGTAACATAGAGCTTTAGCTAGATAATAGTCGCGGTTAATACTAGTAGCTTTTCTAATATATAGTTTATCGTGGTAACAGTAAAAACAATAAATAACTTAGCTATTAGAGGGCTCTTATTCTATAATAACGGCTATAAAATTTCTAACTATAGATTAAGAAGGTAGTAACCTACGTTTTAATAGTTTTTCTATATATTTTACTAGCTCTAATTCTTATAGTAGAGTAAATAATTATAATTCTAAGTAGCTGCAGCTCTTAACTATGTTTTGTTTTAGTGCCGGCGCATTAATATTGTAATATTAATACTAAACTGTTTTATAGCTGCGTAATATAAAAGTTAATCTTCTATATCTTATAAATTAAGTGCCGCAATTGCTTTTATAAGAGCTATTATAGTGGTGGAGTTATCACGTGTTAAAAATGATAGGTGGATATTTTGATGGGGTAGATGGTGTTGCATTGGCTGAACTATTACACGCACTGACCACACGCAGTATATACAAGATAATCCAGCCGACAAAGATCAACTAGTTGTAGCCAACACAAAAGTTGACTAACTTAAACCCAGCCTATGTGACCAGTTGAACTAGTGTAGGTAGATATCCAGTCATTAAGCCAATACTGTAGTTAGCCCTGGGATAGAGATAAGTCATCTCCTTAACCTAGGGAAACGTGGGTTGTTCATGATAACGCCTCCCCTACAGTTATCACTCCGGCCCCTGCCATTATCGTTGCAAGCTGATGTACAATGCCCTAGACTCTGAATTTGGCCATTTTCTCCACCCCTACACCAAAAAAGAAAATTACCACTGTCCGCACGATAGCCGCTCCCCCACCCAGTCCTGATCAGTTCTATTTGGATTTGGGATTCATAATTGCCTGTGAAGTATCAGTAAATACACAAGGAGAAGGTTTTAATTATACCCAAGCATACCCATGTTGGTAAGAGTTTTACCGCAGTAGTACAGCCCTTCCCTACAGTTGTCTGCTGCAACGCCGGTTGCGAAGAGAGCAAGGACAGGGATGGCAGCAGTAAATTTCATGGCCGCTTTCCTGTCTTGTTGGAGAGGTTTTGGTGTTGTGTATTAGAGGCGCTCGCTGGGAAAGTCTGAGATGCTGATATCGAAGTCAACTGAAGTGCTTGATGGAAAATATTATCGGGATGTTCATGGCTTTTATAGACCGCTCTAATGTAGCAAGCTTTAGTGCATGCTATTTTCTTCTCTGTACGCAAACCCTTACCCATTCAGTGCATAGATCAAGACTTTTCGCTCACTCCGAGCAGTGAGGCTATTATTAGTATCACATCTCAGTAGGGAAATAGCTTATGCGATGCCTAGAAGCAAAGCGATGCATAGTATAAAGTGGTATGCCCCAATACAGTTAACTATGAACCAACTTAAGCGTAATCACTAGTCTTGAATCAAATAATGGTCCTTTATAAAGAGCGCACTAGCTCGTAATAAGTATATGGGCGTTGAATTTTTTTACTTAGATTGGGCTTGGTATTGGGTGTGAGCTGTTGACGAAGTATTTGCTCAAGCATGGAAGTGGGACGGCGTTTCCCAAACGAGGTGGGGACACAAAGCGTAGCTCGCTATCGCTGATAAGTAAGCTAAAGTTTCAGCTGGAAGATGTGAGGCTGAGGGTGGCCTAATGCTCCTTCGGCGCTTGGCTCTACATGAGATGTAGCGTTATGTCCTTGTTATGAGATCCAGACTAACCATGATTGAACAAGGTAGCAAGTTGTAATGGTAGCTTGCAGCATAGGTTACTTAGCAAGAAGCACGAGCGTTCTGTAACGATCTTAGGCGAGGAGCGGAATGTGTTTCTGTCGCACTTAGGTGTGCTGATGATGATGCATCAGGAAGGATTCATCGATGAGCAGCAGAGTTGTATTGTGCAGTTTCTTCATCAGGCTCACTGAGACGATGCCTTGGCCTACGACAGTTTCATCAGGCTACGTTTGGCTTAGCGCCACCCTTACCTGACCGTCGCCAATTTAGAGCTTGAATGAAGATTTAGGTAGCGGCAAATGACCGCCACACCACTGCTTCGCGTGATAATTCCCCAATTACTGTTGTATTAAATACGCTACCGCAGGTGTGAGCTTGGGTTGGAAAGCGTAGTCAATATAGTAGTATATGAGGAATTATTACGCCAAGAAGTGGTGTGGCGGTCATTTGCCGTTATCTTATGGCTGATTGTACGGCATACCCTTGTGAATCTATTTTGAGGGCGGCGTTACGGAGATATCACATGTTGGATGTAATCAATGAAATTTGTTCGGGTGGTTTACTTCCTGACACGCGAGCTTATGTTCATGGTAGGATGACATTGTTAGACGCAGCGAAAGGCTGGCTGAGCACATAGTTATCCTTGCTCAACATTCTAACTCGCCGCCTCAAAATCTTTTGCGCTAGCACGCATTACGACCAAGTTGATCTAGTTAGGACAATGCGCGGAGAGCTCGACCATGTCTTACCTTGCATAAGTCGTTGCTTGGCTAAATTTGGCACGTAAGACGGACAACGCGCTGCGCACGCGTTTGGACTCAAGCCCACAAACTAGATACACTACTTTTTCTTTAGCCACGGCTACAGTATCGCAGTAAAAGCTATGAAACGGCCCAGCGAGCCGCTTTCCTCATCATTCTTCCCTCTAATCTATAGCACTCCCAGAGCTACTTTCTCTTGTTGTGAGCTAAAGTCTCTACCGCTCATCACTGCCTCGCTGACCCGATAGTTCGATAGCCCTCTCTTGTGGCAGCTATGTTCAGCGCTATCTGGTCACAGTATTTTCCTCCGAAGCCCGGGTTCACCGAGAAGGATATCCCACCGGGCAGCCAGTTCGGCAAGGTTTTCATTGTCACCGGCGCCAACCAGGGCATTGGCTTGGAGTTAGTCAAAATGCTCTATCCGACGGGTGCGACCATCTATCTAGCAGGCCGCTCGCAGGAGCGCATTGAGAAGGCTATTCAGCAAGTTATCGACTCTCATAAGCCTGAGCCTGTCGTGCCGGCAATTCTTAAGCACCTCCACCTTGACCTCAGCGATTTAACCACCATTAAGACCTCAGTAGCTGCTTTCACTGCGCAGGAGAAGAAGCTGGACATTCTATGGAACAATGCGGGCATTGGATGTAATCCGGAAGGAACTACCACGAGGCAATCTATCGAGGGCCACGTTGGTATCAATTGCATCGCACCCCTCTTGTTCACCCAAGAGTTACTTCCTCAGCTGCATGAGGCTGCTAAGAACGCTCCAGCAGGCAGTGTGCGCGTCATCTGGACTGGCTCCCTGATGATCGAGACGCACTCTCCAATGGGCGGGATTCAGTACGAGTTCGTAGAAAAGGGAAAAACTACAAATCCAGCACGTGACTACGCCACTTCCAAAGTGGGCAATTGGTATCTGGCAGTCGAAGCTGCTCAGCGATGGGAAACGTACGGCATCGTCAGTGTCGTTCAGAACCCCGGAAACCTGCTTACGAACATCTACTCACACCAGCCAACGTGGCTCATGGCCATTCTAAAGCTAGTGTTGTATAATCCAAAATTCGGCGCTCACACACTTCTCTACTCCGGCTTTACCCCAGACGTCGGCATTGCGAAGAACAATGGAGCGTATATCAGGCCGTTCGGACACATAGCTTCAAATGGACGACGGGACATCTACATGGGGATAGCTGCGGGTGAAGCAACCAAGTTCTGGGAATGGTGTGAGAAAATGTATCAGCCACATATCTGAGGCGCATATCGGAAATGGCGCGCTTCGCCTCAGAACAATATCGAAGAATAAAATCTCCTTCTCAATGCCTACCTCTTATGCACACAGCCTACATCTGTGGAGGACTCTCAACGATGCAGACTCCGCAACAATCAATTTAATCAATCTTAGAATCGTCAATTGAATTGATTGTTAGCTGTACCGCTACGGATTGATTGTAGATTGATTGTTCGTGTTTTTGAGTTGATTGATTGGATTGACGCTACAGGATTGAAGTTGTGTGCTATTACTACAGCTAGGTAGTCCACTCTTGTATATTGTAGTCACGTACAAGATCCTCATCCGACAGATCGTCCTTATCGTTGGCCTCAGCGCTACCGTTAGGCTGAGTTTTGAAACCAGCTGTTACCCACGCTTTCACCAATTGAAGAGCAGCAAGTAGCTCGCTGCCAATAGCGCGTCGTTTGGGCTCTAGGGGGTCACCAAGCTCACTAAAGAGCCGCTCACAATCGCAGCTTGATGCTGGGATAGTTAGCATATCAATTGCAAACTGGCTTAAACACGGGTACTTTGAGTGCATCTGTATCCAATATAAGACTGGGTGACCGTCTCCTAGGTACTGCTCTCTGCTCCACTCAGGCTCCTGGGTCTTCCAGCGCTTGTACTCATCCTCGTCTGCCTCCTCATCATTCTTTCGACGTACAAATGCGCCAATCACATCGTCTATCCCACACGCAATCGCTGTTGGACTTCTACAAGTTGCTAGAGGGCGCTGGCGCTGAGGTTTGTACGTCTGCCAGAGTTGTTGGAACCCAGCGTTAGCCGTATTAAGCTACTCTAACTTGTCAGCCCAGCTATTGTCACAGTAGTGCTTGTAGTATGGATGGAGGCAGACAGCGGCGTAGTAAGCTGGCGAGTTGTCAAGCTTGCTGTAGTAGCTATTTGCCTTACTCCAAGCAGTGCGCAAGTTGATGTAGATATGGTCCTCAGGCGCGTCAGCGTAGTTGAAGTTGACTTGCTCGTATGGGCGCGTACGGGCTTCGAGCGCGCCAAGTATATACTCAAAGACAGGTATAACCTTCTATATAGCACCAAAGTTGCCTGCTTTGCCACGTCCTTCTAGCCGCTCAGTAGCAAATTTGAGCGGCTCTAAGCAATCCTGGTACTCAGTTATCACTGCCCAATCAGCAGCAGTAAGGCCAGTTGATCTCATCCAAATTGGAGCGTCGGGCAACTTATTATTGAGCTGTGTTGCATGCCTATTATTAAGAACGATGCGGCTGATGTGGTGATCTGCGTATGCGTTATAGGCAGCCTGGAGTTGAGTAGCGCGTCGAAAAGCAGCGTAATACGAGTTCCAGCGAGTAACAACTAGCTTGACTAGTTCAAGTACTTTAAGACGCTCTCCAGCAGGCAACTCGGCGGTAGCGGCGCGCTGAAACTCTCGAAATAGCTCGTACTGTTGTGGTGTCTTGATGTGGTTGATGACGTCAATCAAAACACCCAACGGCCCTTGTCTACGCCACTCCTGTAAATACAACTCCTCTGTATTGAGCTGTTCAGCGGCGTTGCCGTAAGCGTCTTTATCTCTGCCAAATATAATAGCCTGGCCAATAAGATTGAATGTATGAGGGCCGCAACGAAGGCGTCGATGGGTAGCGTTAAATTCGTATACGCGGCTGAGCGCGGCGATCGCAGTGTCGTTATTGGCGGCGTTATCGAGTACAAAATAACCTAAATTATCGCGAGTAATGCCGTATACGTTGAGAGTGTTGATGATCGCAGTTGAGATAGCCTCGCCAGTGTGAGCACCTGCGAGCTGTGGTAGATCGATAGGAAGGTCTCGTATTACTCCAGAGACGTCAGCATAGTGAGCGACAATTCCAAAGAAACCTCGCTTGCCACCTTTTGTCGACCAGCCGTCAAAGCTTATATGTATTTTACTTGCAGCTTGTGATAAGGCGTGGACGACTTGGTGCTGTAACTGGTGGAACAGGCGCATCGCGTAAGTAGCAACGCTCCGAGGACTTACCCATAGTGCTGCCTCTGCCTCTGGATTCGCAAAGCTAATCATCTTTCTAAACGAAACGTTTGAAAGCAGCTCAATTGGTAAGTTTTTATCAAGTAAGCAGAGGACTGCAGCTTGTCAAAAACCCTGTATATTGAAATTGCCCATCGCGTTAGCAGCGCGCTGAGAGACAACAAGACCATCCGCAAACGCTTGCCACAGAGAGAGTTGTCCACTAGTCTGCTGGCGCTGTTGTAAGCCGTCTTTCGACTGCATATGGCCTCGTTTCTGCTGGGTGAGGTGGGACGCTGCAGCTGATGTAGCTCTTGTGACGTCAAATATACCACTACCGCCAGTATCAATAACCTTATGAGTATGGCAATACCTGCATACAAACCACACATTATGTTCGGGTTACTTCGCTCAACAACATGATAGCCATGTCGAAATATCCAGCTTTTAACGCGTCGCTGAGTTGCAAGAGGCTTCATAAAGCCTCGTAAACGTTGCCAGTCAATACCATCAAAGTTGTCGCCATCTCTATCATCATCGCCATTGCCATCGCTACCATCATTCCCAGCTTCAGTTGTAACCGCCGTACCAGCGCGGCTGCTCTCAGTAGGCGTGGCAATCTCTGCCTCTAGCTGTGATTCTCGTAATTACGATTCAAATGTTGTAGCCTGGCTCGCGGCAGCAAGGACTTGAAGGGCCGATAGTGAACGTTGGAATAGGCGTTGAGATGATAGCTCCGATGAGCATTGACGTTTAGTAGGAGTAGTACTAGAGATAGAAGCTCGCGAGCGTTTAGCCATAGTAGGCAATCAAAACACTAGAAAATGCGTTAGTATAGGTGGCAAGGGCGACGTTAGGATCATCAAAACAATGCAGAGGTACCAAGTGTTAGATAAGGTTAGAGCGCGCGCTGACGAGTCTAGTACAAGATAGGATAACGCCCCTGCGCTAACTACAACACTATAAAACTATCGTAATACAAGCAATTTAGCGGCTCCAAAAACCTCCTCTAGCTCTTAACTAAGACAATCAATTCAATCAATCCAATCAATTCAACCAATTCAATCAATTCAACCAATTCAATCAATTCAACCAATTCAATCAATTCAACCAATTCAATCAATTCAACCAATGCAATCAATTCAACCAATGCAATCAATTCAACCAATTCAATCAATCTTTGTTTCTTAGATTGATTTGAAGCTAGTGTTCTAGTAGTGACCGATTGGATTGATTGGATT